CTTCGCTTATTGATACATCACACCAATGTCTGCCTCCACTGTCACATGGCATTTTCCCTGTCTATTTCTATGTTTCTTTTCCTCTGCTTTTAAGGCCAGCAGCTATATTTAATTAAGGGTCCACACTAGTCTAAGATGACAGCATCTTAACTTGATTATTATACCAGTGAAGACCCTATTACCAAACAAACTCATATTCAGAGGTACCAGGAGTTAGGACTTTAACAATAATCTTTTTTGGGGAACACCATTCAACCCACAACAGATGTATAGAACAGGAAGTTGAAATTTGGGGTATAGTTTTGCAGGTAAGGAGAACAGCAAATGTAAAGCCCCCTCCCTCTCCCCCCCAGACAGGCAGACATTGATGAGTTACAAGAAATAAAAGTAATCCAGCAAAGCTTGAGTGGAGAGTAGCAATGAGATGCAGCCAGAAAGGCCATGATGGTCTCCATAGGCCATATGGCATGATCAAGTTAGGTGAAGCTGCAGTTAGGAAAAAAGAAAAAACCCAAATCTTTGTGCTGGGCACAGTACAGGTTCATTTCTAGCTGTGTCAAGTCTGATGTGGGTTGAACATCTCTTCTTGGCTCTTCTCTGCCATGCAAAAGCACATGGTGTCCAGGGAAATGAGATGGGAAGAGGTCCCAGTCTCAAGTTCCCAAGCCTGGAAGTGACCCTTGTACTCACAGATCACATAACAAGGGAGGCTGGCAATTAGGGGCACTGTTTTCAGAGTCCTGTCTCGCTTGTATTCACCCAAGTCAGGGTTAGGACTTCCTTCCCAGAGTACTGGGAAGGCAGCCAAGGTTTTCACACAGAGTTGTGACAAGATCCAACCTGCGTTTTACAAAGATTTCTCCTGCTGGAGTCAGAGTCAGCCCTGAAGTGGGGGAGTGGCAAACCATCTGGTGGCCTGTGGGAAGTGGCCAGAGTGGGAGTTGGTCACASCCGAGGCACAATATATTTGCAGTTAACTGGTACAACTTCCACCTCACAGGCACAGCTAAAAATAATAATGATGATAATGTGAGAAAAATTAGTTCATGTAATTAAAAAAAAAAACTATGCAAGTACATTTTGTGTAAATCCTCATCTAAACTAGGAGTTTTTGGTTTTGTTTTTTGGTGCTGGGGATTCAACCCAGGACCTCACACATGYTAAATAGGAGCTCTACCACGGAGCTACACCTCTAGCYCTAGATTGGAGATTCTACATATTTAACACATATACTACTGGGCAGCATGAATCCCTAAAGCCAGGATACTGTAGTCTATGAGCCTCTTGGGTCCTTCCTGACTTGACCTCATCCTTAAGACTCCTTGCTGCCTTGAAAACCTCATTGTCCTGGAAAATACCTTCTACTCAAGAGTCCTTAACTGGGACCCAATAACAACAGTGAGGACCCTTGTGTCAAAGGGATTTCATGGTCAGGCTCTGCCTGTTATCATAGCTACTCAAGAGGTTAAGGCAGGAAGATTGCAAATTCATGGCCAGTCTGGGCAACTCAGGGAGAACCTGTCTACAGTTAGGGGGGTGGTGCTGGGATGTACCTTAGTAGTGGAGTACTTCCTTAGCATGCAGGAGGGTTAGGGTTCAATCCCTACCACCACAAACAAAACAAAACCAAAACAAGGGATTTCCTACTGCTTCCAAACATCCTGGTGCCCTGCCTCTGTCAGACTGGGGGCATTTTTTTTTTTTTTTTTTTTTTGCTGAGTCTGACTCCCACTTGCCTGTAGTTCTTTATATTTTCTAAGCTGTTTCTTTATTTGAGCCTTAGAATCTGATGAGACCTAATTTAGATGAAGGAACTGAGAAGTCAGAGATAGCTTGTCCCATGGTAGCTAGGATCCCTGGCAAAAAACCCTGATGGGGAGTTGGAAGTGAATTGTGGCCTTGTGGCCACAAATTAATTTATTATTTTTTTACTAGGGATTGAACCCAGGGGTGCTCTATCACTGAGGTATACCCATAGTCCTTTTTATTTTTGGAGACAGGGTCTTGCTAAGTTGCTGAAGCTAGCCTGAAACTTGTGATCCTCCTGCCTCAGCTGCTTGAGCAGCTAGGATTACAGGAGAGTGCCACTGTGCCTAGCTGTGGCCATAATTTTAGCTGTATAATTTCAGTACTCTGATATGGATAAACTGAACATACGTGTTATGTTTTGGATGTGAGGTGTCCCCCAGAAGCTCATATATGAAACAATGCAAGGTTTAGAGGAGAAAGGATTGGGCCATGAGAGCCTTAATCCAATCACTGAATCAATTCCCTGATGGGATTAACTGAGTGGCGGCTGAAGGTGGGTAGGGTGTGACTGGAGGAGGTGGGCATTGGGGACATGCCATTTGGGGTATATATTAATATATATAGTCTTCCCTTATATCTGGCAAGTGGAGACTCTRCTTTCTGATCATCATGTGAGCTGCTTCCCTCCATCACACTCTTCCACCATGATATTATGCCAAGGAATGGGGCTGGCTTTCTATGGACTGAGACCTCTGCAACTGTGAGCCCCTGAATAAATTTGTTCTCTTCTTAAATTGTTCTTATCAGATCTTTAGTCACAGTAGCAAAAAATCTGACTAAAACAGCAGCTTTCTGAAAAAAAGGTCTCACTCAGTTGTTGAGGATGGCTTGAATTTGCAATCCTCCTGCCTCAGCTTCCCTGTCTACACAAAGCTATTTTGAAGCTCCAACAGCAATGTTGGTGGGAGCATTTTGCAATCTGTGAAGCATTGTCTAAAAGGTATCCTCAGATTTTGTATGTCATTGAAAGTTTTTGAAGGTAGTCATGTCAATGCATGCCTATAATTCTAGCTACTCAGGAGGTTGAGAAAGGAGGATCTCAAATTCGAGGTCAGCCAGTTCAAGGCAATTTATGTCTCAAAATAAAATAACAAGGGCTGGATATAGCTTAGTGGTAGAGTGCTTGCCTAGCATGCAGAAGGCCTTGGGTTCAATCCCCAGAACACACACACACACACAAAACAAAGTTTCTAAGTCATGCTGAAGATATACATGTGGAAAATTAACAACTGAGTGAGTGTATGCCCTCAATTATTATGTCCTGAGGCTACTCTTACACTCTTTGAATTTAATTTCTTAAATTACCCTTATTTTGGGGGCAGCTTTGCTCCATTTCCTGCTGACCATATTCCTGGCCCTTATTTCTTTTGGTGGTGAGAACTGGGGTGGAGGCAGAAGGACATTTAGTAGAGACTTTTCTGTAAGCCTTACAACTAAATTTCAGTGACATGATTAAAGGTGAGTGGAAATAAATGAATTCAAGTTATAGAATCTAGACTGAAATCGTGAAGAGCTTAAATGGACCTTGAAGTGAACCAGTGGACATTTGCTCACCTAGAAAGTGAGGATGCCAGCTCTGGTTTGATTGTTGCCTTGGTGGCAGCATGTAGTGCAATATAGCTAAATATTCAGATTTTTGTGGAAAAGTCTGAAGTCATTACTTTTTTGGGGTACTGGGGATTGAACTCAGGGGCACTCAACCACTGAGCCACATCCCCAGCCCTTTTTTGTGTTTTATTTAGGGACAGGTTCTCACTGAGTTGCTTAGTGCCTTGCTGTTGCTGAGGTTGGCTTTGAACTCTTAATCCTCCTACATCAAGGATTATAGGCATGATCCACCGCACCCAGTTTGAAGTCATTAAATGTGAAATTGTCACATTTTTCAATYTCAGAGCAACAGCATACTGTCTGTGGTTTGTTCATGAGTCTGTTGATTAGCCTGGGATCACTGCTCTGGGCTTCACTTTTGTCATTTATAGATCGGTGATGATTCCATCATCCATAGGATAGCAGACCAGATGAGAACAAAATGTCCAGTCTGCCACACCACACTGGGCCTGGTTTTGGTAATAAAGTGGGAATTTATGTTCTGTTAGTAGGACAAGTAATCCCCAAGCTTCTGAATTTGGAGTTCTAGTCCATCTGGGGCCTGCCATCCATATGATTATTAAAGGAATCACGGGATTACCCAAGTCTTTTCCAGTTTGGTGATAAAGGTTTTCAGTATTTTTCTGGAGGTACTGGGGATTGAACCCAAGGGTGCTCTACCACTGAAATACCTCTCCAGCCCTTTTTATTTTTATTTTATTTTTTTAAATTTTGAGATAGAGTTTTGCTAAATTGCCCAGTCTGGCCTGCAGTCTTCACTTTCCTGAGGCGCTGGGATTACAGGCATGCACCATCGCGCCGGGCTGGTTTTAAAATATTTTTAAGTTAGGAAACGAGAACTAGTTCTTCACCCCCAAAAAACTCATTTAACGGGAATGAAATATTTTTCTCAAGAACGAATTCAGCAAAACTAAGTAAATGTAAGGAAAAATGTTAAATAACACAAGGTAAATGTGATCTTAATCATGAGTGGCGCCAGGCGCCCAGAGACTGGGAAACACCATGGTCCCACYGTTCTCGGTGCGAGACACCTGGCGAAACCTCCTAACTCCTTATTACTGGGGGAGAAGGCAGAAAGGGCGAGAGCGCAGGTCTTTCCGATCACCAAGGTTCAGGGGGTAGGTGGGCTCCATCCCAATCACTCCAAGCGGTGCTGAGAGCTTTGGAGATAGCAACACACCCTATCTCGGAAGCTCGTGTTCTGCTACTTCATCCGGGCGACCTTGGGCTTCGGGACTTCTCCCGCTCAGTTTCCTCTTGGGAAACGGGACGACCTAGGCTGCCAATGTGTGTGGGGGTGCGTACGAAGGCAAGCGATTTGAGCTCCAGAAAGTAGAGGGTCCGCCTGGAGCCTGCAAGATTTTGGACACAACGCCGTTCCCCTCGACACTCCGAATCCTCAGCCGAGCCCAGACTCGCGCGCGTTCTAAAATGAGGACAAAGCCCTCCCCTACCTGGAGCGCGCGCGCTGTCATGGCCAATAGGAAGCCGAAATAAGGGTGAGTGACGGGAGGAGCCAGCCAGTGAGCATGCGTTTTGTTGCGAGGTGTCCCCCGGCTCCAGTATTATAAAGAGCTCCACGAGTCGGCATTGTCAGGCGGCGGCACCGCGCGAGTCGGACCTGGGCTGTGGTCCGTGGGTTCTGTGTGGCGGCTGCCGAGGAGGAAGAGGGAGCTCCATCGGAGCGGCTCCGTCAGTGGACGGAGGCGAGGTCCCGGCAGCGCGAGCTTGAGCGCGGCCGAGCCCGCGGCGCCTTCCCCGGCGGGTGGGGACAAGTGGGCCCCGCGGCGTCATCGGCGGCGAGGTGAGCGCCCGGGCCGCGGGAGGCGGGCGGGAGCTCGGGCAAGAGTCGTGCCGGCCTGACGCGCTATCGCCGCGTGTGGTCGCTCGTTGCAGGAGCCGCCGCGGCCTGCCCTACCATGTCGGAAACGGGCGAGGAGCAGCCCATGGAGACTACGGGCGCCACTGAGAACGGACATGAGGCCGCTCCCGAAAGCGAGTCGCCGGCAGGGGCTGGCACTGGAGCAGCCGCGGGGTCTGGAGGCGGGACCGCTGCGCCCCCGAGCGGGAATCAGAACGGCGCCGAAGGCGACCAGATCAACGCCAGCAAGAACGAGGAAGACGCGGGGTAGGTGCGGTCGCGGGCGGACGGGGGCGCCGCCTTTGTTCCGGGGCCGCCTTTTGTTGGCGCCACGCGGCGGGGGGAGGGGCGGTCGGACCGGACCCCGCCACGCTCACTGCTCAGCTCTTGAGCTGCTACTCGCTCTGGAGTTTGCAGGAGTTTGTTGGGTCGACTTTGGCGCCGCCCCGGGGCCGCCCGCGCGCTGCCGGGCCGAAGTCGGCTCCGGGGCGGGCGGCCCGGAAGAGGGAAAGCGCTCGAACCCGGTGCCCGGCCGGGTCTAGGGCTGCGCAGGGGCTGTGTGGGCGGAGTTGGCGCGCGCCCGGGCCCAGGCCTCCCTCCTCCGCCTCTTCCCGGGGGCGGAGTCATAGTCTGAACTCTGGGCGGTCTCGGCCCCAGGAAGCTTCGAGTTCCTTGCAACAAGTTCTTGGAGGTGGTGAAGACTGGAAGGGACGCTAGCCCATAGATTCGTGGTGGTTGGACACCTTATTTTCAGTTTTGAGTGGTCTGGGCCTATACCCCTGGCAACGTTTCCGTTTTCGCTCAGAGCCTGGGACTGCACAGTGTGGTTAAACGATACTGAGATCAGAGGGCAGTCGGGTCCAAGTTGAATTGAGATTGGAGGACAATAGAATTTAACATTCCTTAAAATGTAGTGCCCTTGTAGACTCTTAAGGGTGGGTGTAGACTTTGTCTGCAGGATGTTGGCTTTATAATCATTTCATTGAAAGCTTAGCCAGGGTTAGTCCTTAAAATCACAGCTTTTCTTACAAGATTTGTTGCCATGCATCTCACTCTACCATTTCAGAAAAATGTTCGTTGGTGGTCTGAGCTGGGATACCAGCAAAAAAGATTTAAAGGACTATTTTACTAAATTTGGAGAGGTTGTGGATTGTACAATAAAAATGGATCCCAACACTGGACGGTCAAGAGGGTTTGGGTTTATCCTCTTCAAAGATGCTGCCAGTGTGGAGAAGGTAAGCTGGGTATCAGCAGTCTCAATGTATAGGATACTGTTGTACAGAATGTTTACCTTGTGTGCTGTGCAGTTGAGTGCTTTGGGACAAGTAGGTTAGGAACGTCACATTCTTGTTTTTGAGGGATTAATACAGGTTTAATGGGAAGTAAGTGATGAAATGGTTCAGGAAGAGTATTGTTGGTGTTTGTTTCTTTTTATGTGCATATTTCTGGGCACCATGCTGAACATTTTACTGTGGGTATTAGAACTGAGTCTCTCAGATTATTATGAGGATAAGCATTTAGCTTCATATAGGAAAAAACAAAATCCTAAGCCTCAAATTTTAGTGGAAGAGATCACGTAGTTATAGGTAGAGTGAGAATTCCAATCCCTAGCAGCCTGACTCTAAGTCTGCTCATAATCACTGCTCCTTTATTGGAAAGAAATGGGCCCTACATTGGGACTGCTTGGGCAGGGTGGGTAAGGGCTCAGTGGACTATTACTGACTGCAGAGAAGTCATTGACTATACAATAAAAATAGATCCCAGCACTGGATGGTCAAGAGAGTTGGAGAGGAGAGGAGAGGACTGATTTATAGGTGTTTAGGTGAACCAGGTGTATTGGGAGCTTGGAGAAAGTTGGGTTGGAAGATGGGCTGGGGTGGAGTTTGGAGGGCATGAAGCACATTTTGTGTACCTGTGTGGGAATCTTGAGAGAAGGGCCTCCATGGTCATTTACTGAACAATAACCTGATCCATTCTGTTTGAAACAGGTCCTAGACCAGAAGGAACACAGGCTGGATGGCAGGGTAATTGACCCTAAAAAAGCCATGGCCATGAAGAAGGACCCTGTCAAGAAAATCTTTGTAGGGGGTCTGAATCCTGAAGCCACAGAGGAAAAGATCAGGGAGTACTTTAGAGAGTTTGGGGAGGTGAGTGTGGTGGCCTCAGGAGTGGCCTGCCAGCTGCTCTGAGACTGCTTGCTTCCTTCTTGGTCCATCCTTGGTAGTCTTGGCTAGTTGGAGCCCTCAGTAGGGCTTTCTTACTCTCTGGCCTTTTAATGGGTCTTCTCTCCAATAGTTTATACGCATTGGTAGGAGAGGTTTGGTCCTGAGCATTGTTTGTTTTTACAGATTGAGGCCATTGAGCTTCCAATGGATCCCAAGTTGAATAAAAGACGGGGTTTTGTTTTTATTACTTTTAAAGAAGAAGATCCTGTGAAGAAAGTTCTGGAGAAAAAATTCCATACTATCAGTGGAAGCAAGGTATGGTGTTTTAGCTGTGTGTGCTCATCTTTCTGTTCTTGGAAAGCTGGCTCTTGCAGGTGTGGGTTAGGTTGGGCTATGTCAGAGATTAATTAGCAAGTTAGTTGTTATCCAAAGTATGCACTTGACTTGACTGGAGCAGGTGGTCATTTAGAACTTATGCAATTCAATAGACTACCTTTTATGGTGAGGATTTGCCCTGTTCCTGATGACCTCTTTTTGTTCATCTTGGGATATATCCCTTTGAGCACTGCTCTAGACAATCCTTCCACAGGCAAAGATCCTAAAAGAGCATCTGGGGACCAGGCCAGCTTAAATCCAGGACCAGTTTTGCCTTCATATGTGGAGTCATGTGTAGTGAAAGGTGTACCTCCTCCCCTGAACTCTGGTAGAGGAGAGAATAGTTTAAGCTTCAGGATGGCAGTTAGCAGAGTTAAAGGTGTGGCCCTCTGTGGCTGGGTGTGGCAGGCTGTGTGTCTCAGCAGGAGTGGAAGTCAGGTGGAACAGGTAGGGTGGGGCTTCTAGAAGTCCCCATCCTGGCTAGGAGTTTAGAAAGCTCCAAATAGGGATTAGGTCCCTAAATGTTTTGTAAAATAAGCAGGTGAGATGCGAGTTGTTCCTATAGTGGACAGTGACAGACTGCTTTATGTGCATGCGAACAAAGCAGTGGTAAGAGCCTCTAAGCTAACATTTTAATGGTGGGTGTTACAAATAAGTATTCAGTTGAGTGTAATCAACTCAATTTTTARTTAAATGGGATAGAAAACAGACATCACTTAGCAGGTTCAAATGTCAATTAAATGAATCTTATGTGGGGACACACAGTGTGTAGTGATTTTTACTGTTTTTAATGGAGGTGTCTGTCAATATTTTCCTTAAGTACCACTGATTTATTTTAGCGGACACAATCCCCATCCCCTTGCCCAGTGCAGATGTTGGGCAGGAAGGAAACTGACCCTCTGGGCCTGTGGTGGGGATGTAGACATGGCCTTATCCCAGCGGTAGGCTAGTGCTTGGAAGAGCAGAGGGATGGGTGGCATTGTGGTCTCAGGCAAAGCCCCATGCTGAGCCTCAGAAACTGTGATGGAGGTCAGGGTTTTCTCAGAGTATTTGGGTGGGATGAGTTTCTTCTGTAAAAAGAGAAAAGAAAGAAAAATGAAATGTCTCTAGTGCCCAAGACCTCTCTGAAAAGTCTTCTGGTCTTCTTGTTCAGCAGGACAGAGGTGGTGCCAACTCCCAGGCCATCTGTCCTCTGTTCCCCTGATGTCTGGTGTGTCTTGCCCTCCTGGGCTGTAGTTGGTCCAATGCATTTTCCTAGGAAAGGTTCTCTTAAAGAAAGGCCCTGGGTTTTAGTTGGTTTTAGGAGCTTTTAGCACACATGGATTTCTGCCCCAGCATATTTTGAGCAAATTGACATGCCCAGTCTACCATCTGAGTGTTGCAGTGAAAAATCTTTGTCCTGAGCTAGCCTCATTGGCGTGACCCACTGTCTTTTTGGCTTTTAGTGTGAAATCAAGGTGGCCCAGCCCAAAGAAGTCTATCAGCAGCAGCAGTATGGCTCTGGGGGCCGAGGAAACCGCAACAGAGGGAATCGAGGCAGTGGTGGAGGTGGAGGTGGAGGTAAGTGAAACTTCAGTGAAGATGGGTCCTGTTTCCCTGCCTGTAAGATGCCTTCTGTGCCTGTTTTGGGGTTGCCTCTGGTGTTCTGTGCAGCATGGGTGGGCAGGCAGTGTGAAATGGGAATGGGACAGGAATAAGAATGGTTTTCCTGGGTCAGCTGTGTGCTTTTGCTGCTGTGGCTCCTGGAATGGAAGAGACCTGTCTGTCTTCACTTGTGCGGCTTGGGGCCCCAGGGCAGAGGGAGCATTTGCATTGCATTCTGGGTGGGGGCATGATGGGTTGTGCTTGGCTCTGTGGCTGTCCTCTGAGTCTTGGTACACACAGGGGCCAGTGGGCAGAAGGGTAGGGCAGAGCTGTGCCAGGCGCTTACCTCCTTCCATCACAGGCCCTCTGACTCCAAAGCCTGAACTGCATCTTTTTCAAGGCCAAGCTGCCAGGGAGGGGTGGGGGTGATCAGAGGGTGACTTGAGTAAGCCACTTGTACCCCAGGTGAAGTTAGCATCCTGGCCTCCTGATCCCGTCTCAGGCCCAGAGCTGGGCCCAGGGCCCTCTAAAAACAGAAAGCAGCCCCATGGCTTCTGCCTGAGTTGCCATTGTAACCCCGCCACCCAAAGGGCAGGATTTCCTCCATCCTAGCTCCTGCGTGTGCTAAATGGTCCATGGGCCCCTGTGCCCTGCTCCCCCCACAGGTCAGAGTCAGAGTTGGAATCAGGGCTACGGCAACTACTGGAACCAGGGCTACGGCTACCAGCAGGGCTACGGGCCCGGCTATGGCGGCTACGACTACTCGCCCTATGGCTATTACGGCTACGGCCCCGGCTACGACTACAGTAAGTAGGAGAGGGAGGCCCTATCCACTCCCCCACCAGGGGGGCAGGTCAGACAGTGCAGGGGCCACTGGCAGCAGGGGCTTTGGAGTCAGACAGGCCCTGGCTCAGGCACTGGAGCTACCCAGTGGAGTTCTAGCTCCAGGGCCTCAGTAAAATAGAGGTGATCCCTACTGTACAGGGTTGAGGATCCTGTGAGGATGCGTGTCAAGCGCCTGGCACAAGGTAAATGCTCAGTAAGTAGTAGCTGCTACGTTGTTCTTGTCCCTAGGTCAGGGTAGTACAAATTACGGGAAGAGCCAGCGACGCGGTGGTCATCAGAATAACTACAAGCCATACTGAGGCGGCCGCAGGAGCAGCTGACTGACTGATCCAACGCTTTGTTGGATACAGAGTGAACGCAAATATGTACCAAATTTAACTTGGCAAACTTTCTATGGCCTGTCCCATGTGCATCTTATTTAAAATTCCCCCCCTGGAAATCACTCTCCTGTTTACTATTTCCAGAGCTCTAGTTGTTTTAGGCAGCGTGTGGTGTTTCAGCGGCATTAGGGGTTGATTTTATTATCAGGTTACCTAGAACCAGGTTGGAGGGTCTGCTTCCTGCTGCCGCTCTGCAGCCTGGACCTGTGGACCCTGGTTGTAAAGAGTAAAATGTATCTTAGGAAACCAGTGTCAACTTTTTTCCTATCTTTTAATTTTATATTATTCGTGTCATACATTTCCTGTAATGGAAGTGTTAATTTTACTGTACTTTTTGGTACCTTTTGGGAATCTAATGTATTGTAAGGTATTTTACACGTGTCCTGATTTTGCCACGACCTGGATATTGAAGCTATCCAAGCTTTTGAAATAAAAATTTTAAAACCCCCAAGCCTGGGTGAGTGTGGGATATGCCGTGAGACCTCTTACCCAGAGTATGGGTGCCAGGTGCTCTGGGGCTGGGGCTGGGGCCTTCTCCCATAGCAAGGTCTTTCAGGTGCTGACCCAGTTGTGGGTTACAGCTTGGACAAAGGACCTGACTACTGACCTTTTGTGAGCTGTTTTGGGTCTATATCCTCCATCTCTGGAGAGCATCCTGTCAGGCATACACACCCTACACATCCTTGGTTGGGTTTTCTCAGCATAGAAAGCTCACTGAGGGAGGAAATGGCTATTCCTGCCCTCTCATCCTAGCCAACAAGTACAGGCCAAGTTTTAGAGACTTTCTGGTGGGGATGGGTAGATAATACCCAGGGAAGTAAGAGCTTCTCAATTTTGAAAAAAGTAACCTGTGAGAAGGAGCTATTAGAACAAGAATGTTTTAGAAGGTTCATTTTGCTAAGGATAATGGCTGTTGATGGTAAGAAACCATCTCTGGGTCTCTTAAGAACAAGAGGCAAGGCCCACTCACCTGGAAGATGTTTGACTGAGCAGGGCTGAAGTCTCAGTGTTTCACAACTTCTCACCTTCTCTTCCATATCTGAAAAAGACCACAAAGCCACCCCAATGGAACACCTTTCTCTGGAGCCTTCAGTGTCCAAAGCTGCTTGGATAGCAGTTTAGAGACTGGGCCCACCTACATGGCCAGTTTCATACCTGACCCAACAGAGGTGGGCTAGCAATTTCTTGGAAGGGAACCATATATACACCTGGAAAACATAAGCCAGCCCTCAGTTCTCTTGTTACTTTCAGGCTGTGTCCAGGAGTCCTAAACCACTTCTGTAGCCAGTTAGCTTCTGGTTTGTTAGGCTCCCCACAAATAACTCTGTCCATCAGAACCCCTACCATCTCAAATTGTCTAGCAGGAATTGGACTTTGTTCAGCTCCAGGGCCCTGGGCATATGTATACCTGTGGTCAGCAAAGAAGTAACCCAGAGGTGGAAAGGAAAGACTATCTTTGACATGTTCCACAGATAATTTTGCCTATATGGGGGTCTCAAAGGTCTCCACAGATGGTATACAGACTCAACAGGGCTTAATCTCAGTTTGGTAGAGAGGGGGATACCCTGGGCTTATTTTTGACCATTCTAGGTGATTGGAGAAGTTTATTGTTGTCCGATCTCTGAACAAATCTCATTTCAGCCACCCCCCAGCTAGATGAATGTGTTCCTAGCTTCCAGTATAGAAGGAAGCTGCTGCCATCTGTATCTCAGGGTGACTTTAAGCACATGTAATGGGGTCTAGCCCAGGCAGGTGGGTTGGCTGGTGGCTTGATGCCCAAAGGGCTAGAAAGCTCTTTTAGGTTCAGGCAGGAATAGGAGAGGCTTGGCTGGAAGGCCCTTCACAAACTTGGTGTGTGTCTAAAGGATATCCTGTCTTCTTCTGGGCTCTCATGCCCCTTAGTGCATGCTGGGGCTCTAGATAAACATGGTCAGTTGTTGCTCCAAGCTCACCTGTCAGAATGGCATCCAGCTTTGTCACCACCAGTTGTGCATTGTCCAGGCTGAAACACATTGGGGGCTTAAACTTCAGAATGTTCCTTCCAGGGCCATCAGCACTTAGCAAAATGTAGTTTTCCTTCAGCCTGTGAGGACAGGACACCCCTTTGACATTCAAGCCTTCTTCATCCTCACTTTGGCTTAATGTCCAGCATTCAAGCTACACTGTCTTCAGAGTCCTTCACTAGTCACTTCCCACCAAGACACTGTCCTGTCCACCCTGCCAAAGTCCTACTCATCCTGTGGCCCAGCATTAATGGCCYTTGTCTGGAATGTACTTGGCTCTGCTGCCCCCAAAATGGGTCTGACTTCTCCAGTCTATACCAAGCCAAGACTGACCAGGGTTATCGACAATGCCTGCATTTCCCTTTTTTTGTGCATGGTTTGTGGTGTGTAGTATGTCCCCTTTCTAATGAAACATGTCTAACATGAATGGAATGAGAATTCTGTAACATTTGCCAAGCTTCAGTAACTTCCCTCCCCATGCCTCCTAGGGTAACTTGTCATCCCAGACAGGACTATTAATTTCCCATTCTTTTTGGGAAGATGAATAATTTTTAATATTCCACATTAATATTTGGATATTTTGGCCMCTGACAAAAGGGTCTCGAATGATTTATTTGTGTTTGAACTTATGCTCCCTTTTTTATTTTTTATTGTTAAAATATTACCAGGGGTGGGGTGGGGCTTGTTTTTCAATTTGTCTTCTGGCTTCTTTTTCCTGTTCTGTTCTTTGCAGCACATTGGAAATAATAAAGTTTGAACTGTGGATTCTCCCCCTGGGCCTAATCTAGCTCTGCCACCTAGCAGGGTCACTGCAGGTGGAATACCTGTCCCATATTTACTGTTGTGAAGGTGTAAGAATTAACCCGGTATCTGGCTTCTCTGCCACCTGACCATTCAGAATCTCCAAGGCTCATTGTGAAGATGTTGGGTGAGCTGGCAGGGACTGGCCACTGCAAACATTTGAGGGAAAGGATTTACATTAATATGGTATAGGGTGAATTAGCACACAAGATTATGAATGTTTCATAATTTGAATAAAGGCTTACCAGAGGGGGTTTCTGTTGGGGGTGGGGAGGTAGGAATGGGGAGTGGAGATAAAGAGGACAGTAATAGGGGAAGAGGTCCTGAGGCCTTAGGTCCTGCCTGGGCTTCAAGTGAAAGACCCCAGGTTAGGAGGCTGGTAGAGTGAGCCCCAGCTGCACACCTCCAGACCAGATGAAGAGTGGGAAACCATTCCATCAACCTGGCACTCTGGGAATGGGGAGTCCCCCCAGTCTTGGTGGTATAGTAGCCCTCAGATGAAGCTTTAGGAAAGCTATTTCCTTCTCCAGCTCTGTGTGCAATTTAGGGCTTCCTGGCATTGGGTACATGGCTGACAGAGCTATAATTTCCTGTCCTGAGAGCTCAGTTGAGAGGGTCAGATAGCTGCCTCTGCCCCTCAGGCCCAGATACTATAGCTGTTTAGCCAGATTTGTGGGAACAGGGTGGACAGAGGGAGGCTTCCTCCTATTCAAGGCCCTAAGTTGTGCAAAGAGGCATCATGGTGATTTCTACTTTAGAAGGCAACTTGAAGGAAAAAAATACCTGGTTACCACATAGTCAGCCTCTTGGGTTGCTGGCATCCTCGTGGCCTCATCTTGGACCAGATCCACACCAATGAAGAGTCCAACACCCCTGGAAAAGTTGACATCTCAGAAGGCCAGGTCTAAAGGCCACCATCCCTGCTCATATTCTGCCTGGGCCTCAACCAGACACCCCTGTTGGAACTATCTGGGACTGTCCCTGTGCCTCCTGTGGAGGCAGAGAGCCTAGGAACCCTTGGAATGGATGCAAACAGTTCTGGGGAATAACTGGGAAGGGATGGGGGCTGGGTTGTGGACAGAGGAAAGAGGATTGCTGTGCTGTGCTCAGGCTGAATCTGAGCTTTCTTTCCTAGAAAGTACAGTGTTGAGTAGCAGTTCCTCTGGAATGTGGTCATAAAAATTCTTACCATCCATATTAGGTTGAATAATATGGACTATCCTGGGCCCTGGGAGGTGCTTGGTTATTGGGGGGTTGACTGCTGTCTCAGAGCCTTACCTGACATCACCAATGATAGGATGTTTGGCTTTTTGTTGCCTGAGAAGCTCCATCAGAAAGCTGCCCACACAGGTAGCATGAGCCTGCAGTTGCTCCTTCTCTAAGACATCCAGGACTGCCAGCCCCACAGCACAGGACACTGGGCTGCCCCCAAACTGAGCCAGGGGACAAAATATGTCAGATACCCAGTAGAGTGGGCCACACACTGCACAGAATTGCTACACTTTCAAAGGAAGCGACTGGAGCACAGGTCCTGAACCCCCTAGGGCTCAGAGCTCTCAGTAGACGGAGCTCCTGTGGTCCCACTGGATGTCTTACTTTCTGTGGCTTCAAGCCAGGTCAGGTATCCCTGGAAATGCAGTTAGGAGCCCCACAGAACCACTGGAGAAGGTGTGTTTCAAAAGAGCTAGGCCTTAGGGTGGCAAGTCATTGGCTGTGCCCAGATCCACAGCACTGGACTGTACCCATCACCTCTGTAAAGGAGGGTTCATAACAGCACACCACAAAGCTTACCAGGGAAGTCACTCTGGGTGGCATAAATTCACAGCTCTGTTGGCTGAGCCTGGAATACCCCTGCATTTTATTTGGCTTGTATGGCATTTCTAAACTTGTGAATTGGGTTCATAAATTCTTGCAGGAGACTTCATACCTTTATTTCTGATGAAACAAACATGGCCTATCTGGCCACACAAGGACCAAGCAAGATCAGTGGTTCTCTTCAGGCAGTGAGTGCATTAGCTTGCTTTTCCTCTCCAGCCTGACCCCACAGGTGTCTGAATGGGACCTGTGTTTTAAAGGATCAGAAGCCCAGTGACTCCTGAGGTAGGGAGATCACAAAAAGGCCAGCCTCAGCAATTTAGGCTCTAAGCAACTTGATAAGAACATTTCTCAAAAAACGGACTGAGGATGTGGCTCCATGATAAAGTGCTCCTGGATTCAATCCCCTATGTTACAAAAAACAAGCTTTGGGGCTGGGTGTGTAGCTCAGTGTTAGTGTGCTTGCCTAGTTTGTGCAAGGCCCTTGAGTCAATCCCCAGTACTGCCGAAAAACAAAAACCAAGAAATTTAGGCATAACAATAAATAATGATTTTTTTTAAGTGTAAGGTTGAATGAGATGCAACAAAGGTATGTACTTGTGCAACTTCCTCCACGATGGCTACAGAATATTTGCATCACTCCAAGTTTCTTGTACTCTGACTCATTCACTATTAGCCCCAGGCAACCATTGACCTGCTTTCTGTCACTCTAGCTTTGCCTTTTCTAGAATGTGATTTAAATGGAATTAAAGAATTATATATCCTTGTGCCTAGCTTTTGCTCATTGTTTTTGGAATTTGTCCATACTGTTATAAGTGTCAGTAATCTGTTCATTTTGTTGTATAATTATTCCATTTTATGGATCTGCCATAATCTGTTTATCAATCTTCTGTTGATGGATCCTTTGGTTATTATGAATAAAAATCCTATGAATATTTGTACACAGTCCTTTTGTAAAAACTATGTTCTCATTTTGCTTAGGTAAATAGGTGTGGAACTGTTTGTTGGGTTATAAGGTAAATGTATATTTACATGAAAAAAACTGCATTCCCATCAGTCTGAGACTCCAGTAATGTCTTACTCGACATTTCATTATCATTTGGAATTATCATTTTTTTAAAATTTAACATGAACTACAGGTTGATTAATCCTTATCCAAAATCTGAAACTTTACCCCACTCCCCATATTAGGGATTGAATCCAGAGCCTCATGCATGCTAGGCAAGTGTTCTACCAGCCTTTTTAATTTTGTATTGTGAGACAGGGTCTCGCTAAATTGTCAGGCTGAGAACTTGAGATCCTCATGCCTCAGCCTCCTGAGTTGCCTGGGATTACAGGCATGTGCCACCACACTTGGCTACAGCTCAGTAATTTTGAATTTGAAGACTAGAGTGAGAGGGCTGTGATTGTGGCTTAATGGCAGAGCACCACTTGCCTCACACATGAGGCAATGGGTTTGATCTTCAATACCTCATAATTTATCTACAACTAAAAAAATATTTTTAAAAAAGCCAACTTGTTTAAAAAAAAAAAGACTGTGAGAAAATTCCCAAAGGAAAAAGTGGGGGAAACAAATATAAAACGTAAATAAAAACTAAGTTATATGGAAGATGGATGGAAGTGCTAATATCTGAATAATAGAAGTCTTAGAAGGAGAACAATGATATGAAAATGTGCAAGTAGGGGCTGGGGTTATGGCTCAGCAGTAGAGCACTCGCCTAGCACATGCAAGGCCCTGGGTTTGATCCTCAGCACCACATATAAATAAAAGTTTTGTGTCCCAACTACAACTAAAAAATAAATATTAAAAAAGAAGAATGTGCAAGTAGTTGAAATAGATCTGGAATTTAAAAACAAAACCTACCTCAGGTGTAAAGAATTCACAGAGTATCAAAAGGAGAAAGGTGAAATGCATATATGGACATTATAAAATTTAAAATAATAAAGACAAAATAAATTTTCAAGCTGGGTATAGTGGTGCATGCCTGTAATCCCAGCAATTTGATGGGTTGAGATAAGAGATTGAAAGTCTGAGGACAGATTTGGCAACTCAGCTAGACCCAGTCTCAAAAAGAGCTAGGGATGTGGCTCAGTGGTAGAATACCTGGTGTTACTCCCCAGTACTAAAAACAAGGAAAACTGCAGAAATTTCCAAAAGAGCCAATTGCATAAAAAAGGAACAAGAATTGATGACTTAAAATGATAGTGATGAAAATGACAGAATAAGGTCCCTGCCTCCCCCACCCCTTCCAAAATTCTCTCCTCCATAAAAGGAACAATAGTAGCAAAACCCATCAGAACTCAGGAAATGGGTTTGAAGCGTCTTTGGAAGCCCCATTCTTTGAGAACTCGTTTGACCTTCCTGGTGGCTCCCTGGAAGACCTCACACAAAAGGGGGAATTTATTTGACACTGGAGGAGTTTGCCCAGTGTGAACAGCCTTTTCTCCAGTGTATTTGTTGATCGGAAGCAATAGTTTAACATCRTGGCTCACTATTGGGACAAACAGTAGATTAATAAAAAAAAATAAAATAAAAAGTTGGGAAATGAGATGTCTATAGGGACCCTGAAAAGCTAGATCTGACATATTCCTGGTAATTTAAGGGTCATGCATATACTTAGGAATATGCTCAAGCCAAATATATGTGTATGTTCAGAAAGAACTGAAAAGCCCTAAACTCACCACTGGAAGGATTGCTCAAGTCCAGGAATTCAAGATGAGCCTGGGCAACACAGCAAGATCCCATCTCAAAACCAAACAACAAAAAACAAAAAGCCTGTAGAAACGTGTGGACACAATCAAATAGACTAACATACAGTCCCAGAGGGGGAGAGAAGAGGCAGAAAACATTTAGTAAAAAGTCCTGTATAACTTAAAATGGACAATGTTTTGTTGTCCCCTCAAAATTCTTAGGTTGAAATCCTAACACCCAATGTGATGGTATTAAAAGGATAGGTAATCAGGTCATGAGGGTTGAGCCTTCATAAATAGGATTAAACTTTTTAAAAAGTCTCCAGAGAGCTCTCTTGCCCCTTCCATCATTTGACGGTACAGTGAGAAGTCAGTTTTCTGTGACCTGGAAGAGGATCCTCACCTGAATTCAACCATCATGACACCCTGATCTTTCTGCCTCTAGAACTGTGAGAAATTTTGGTTGTGTTTGAGCCACCTAGTCTATGGTAGTTTGTTATAACAGCCCAAACTGACTAAAACAACTTCAAGCAGCAATTAAGGCTGGGAGCAGTGACACACTCCTGTAATCCCAGTAACTCAGGAGGCTGAGGCAGGAGGATTTCAAGTTCAAAGCCAGCCTCAATTCAGCAATTTAGCAAGGCCCTAAGCAACTCAGTGAGACCCTTTCTCTAAATAAAATATAAAAAAGGGCTGAGGGATGTGGCTCAGTGGTTAAGTACCATTGGGTTCAATTCCTGGTACCAAGAGAAAAAAAAGCAATTAAGTTTCTTTTCACAAAACACAAGGTTCAGATTGAGTTTTTACCAAACTTTCAAGGAACAGGTCATTCCAATTTTATGTAAAGGGAAAGAATACTTCCTAATTCATTCTACAAGGCTAGCAAAACCCAAGTTACCAGAAAAAAAATTTTAGTTAAATTTTACTCCTGAAAATAGATGCCAAATTATAAATAAAATATAAGGAAGTAGAATATAATAGTGCATAAAAGTGAGAATATCCCACACTCAAGCTGGATTTGTCTCAGGTATATAAAGATGGTTTATATTAAAAATATAGCTGGGCACTGGTGGCACATGTCTGTAATCACTGTGATTTGGGAGGTTGAGGCAGGAGAGTCTCAGGTCAGCTTTAGCAACTTAGATTCTATCTCTCCCACTTATGTATGTTATGTATGACCTTTGGTTACTAAATGGAGGTAGCATATCATATATAATCATATAGGGTTGGGAATGTAGCTCAGTGGTAGAGTGGCCCTGGTTCAATTCCCAGTGTTGCTAAAAACTAAAAAAAACCAAACCCAAGCAAATATTATCTATTTATTGAGGTGCTAGAGATGAAACCCAGGGCCTTGCATATGCTAAACATATATTCTGCCACTGAACTACACACCCTCAGGCCACAAACATCATCCTAAATGGACAGATACATGCATTCCCATAAACTGAACAAATATGCCTCATGTCCTATTATTTATTTTGTAGTGGAAGCCTCTCATCCTGTGTAATTAAACAGCTGACATTATTTGGTGATAAGATTATTTATACAGGAAAAAACAAACAAAAAAACTTCCTGTAATTCTTAGACATAATAGAATTTAGCAAGAGAATGTGGATAATCCATAGTTTTTCTTTTTTGGTATTAGGGATTGAACTCGGGCACTTGACCACTGAGCCACATCCCCAGCCCTGTTTTGTATTTGTTTAGAGACAGGGTCTCACTGAGTTGCTTAGCACCTCGCTTTTGTTGAGGCTGGCTTTGAACTTGTGATCCTCTTTGCCCCAGCCTCCCCAAGCCTCTSGGATTATAGGCGTGCACCACCGTGCCTGGCTCTGATTTTTTATAACAGAACCAAACAGTAAATATACACACAGTCACCATTTATGATGGCGAATATATGCAATAAAAAATCTAGCAGTGTGCACGAACTTTTTTAAAAAATACCTTTATTTATTTTTATGTGGTGCTGAGGATTGAACCTAGTGCCTCACATGTGCTAGGCAAGCGCTCTACCACTGAGCCACAACCCCAACTCCTATATGTAAGATCTTTATAGGGAAGATTATAAAACATGGAAAGTTACACCATGTTCCTGAATAGGAAGATTCAATATTGTAAATAAAGCTTTTCAAATTGACCTATAGTTCAAGCAGTTTCCCTAACAAAATTCCAACAGGGCATTTCTTAAAGTGTTTATAAAGTGAGAGAGAAAACATTTCTTGAAGTGTTTATAAAGTGAGAGAGAAAAAGTGGTCAGGAGTAGTCAGAACTCTTCTGAACATGAAAAAAAGGTAAGAGGGACCTTCTTTATATCAGATAAGAACATATTATGAAGCTCATAACAGTAATAAAGTAATGTGATACAAGAAGAGATAGACAAGTTAATCAAAAGAGTAGAAATAAACAGACCCACTTATGTATGTTATGTATGACCTTTGGTTACTAAATGGAGGTAGCATCAGTGAAGTATAAAGGAATCAGAGAAAAATGATGATTCCTGATGTACACCCTACATTAACTCCAGACAGATTAAGGACTTGTATGTCAAAACACTTAAAATATTGATAGTATATTTTAGATATTTAGATCTGGAAGTAGGGAGAGATTTCTTTGACAATAAATGAAAAACTATAATAGAAAASACAGGTCAATGATGTTAAAAATTGAAAACTGGTTTATCATAAATACAAAAAGTTGAAAAGCCAGGTTATTAACTGGATGAACATATTTATAATATACACATTGACAAAGAATTAGTTTCAAGAATATATAGAGGGGCTGGGGCTGTAGCTCAGTGGTTGAGCACTTGCCTAGCATGTGTGAGGTACTGGGTTCGATCCTCAGAACCACATATAAATAAATAAATAAAGGTATAAAAAAACAACATTTAAAAAAAGTATGTAGATATGTTTGTGTAGCTATACACACATACAGACACATGTGTACACAGATATACAAAATTCCCACAAATAAGAAAATCATTAATAATTTTAAAATATGAAAAAACATGCATTTCACAGAAGAGGAAATGCATGGTCAATAAAATTAGGAGATGCTTCATATAATTTGAAGTCACGGAACAGCATACCAAGTCCATATTGGCTACCATTCTACATGGCTCTTAACTGGCAAAAACTAAAAGGTGTTGATGAGGACATACATTGCCGGTGAAGGGTCTTGTGAACTATTTTGGAAAATTGATGCCATTGTCTCTTAAAATTGAGGGTGGATACAACCCCTGTGACCTGGCAGTCTTACTCTTAGGTTAATTCATAACCTATCCTTTCACTTCTAAGAAAAACTCGGCACAGGAGCCCAGTTCATAATTGCCAAAAACATGGAACAACTTCAAAGCACATTAATGGGAATGGATGAATAACTGTGGTACGTTAACACAGTGAGTATTATAAAGCAAATTACAGTGAAAAGCAATATGGATGAATCTTAGTAATACAATGCTAGGTGAAAACAACAAAATCCAACTAAATTCAGCAAACAACTAGAATAAATAATGAACTTGGGATTTGGAGTGATAGTTATCTAGGTGATGGAGGCAATGAGATGGTTTGGGGCCAAATAAAAGAATAAATGTAGGTTATCATCAAGGTCCTAACTTTTATTTGAGATGATGTCCTCCCAAGTTGTTTGTAACATCAATAAGGTAACCAGGTAAATTGTTAACTTGAAGAATATGCAGGGACAGATGATGAGAGTATTTTATGAAACAAGGGTTATACTTAAGTCTAGTTATGTGCACTTGATGTTCAAGTAAAACAAATATATGAAACAAAAACTCCAGGATCAAGCTTCACTGGGTCATTGTCTTTCATCAAACACAACACTTTCTTTTTACACAGCGAATACCTGCTCATTATTCCAGATTTGGCTTTGGGCTCATCTTCCACACAATGCCTTCACCACTTGTCCCACACCACTTGGCCTACCTCCTGTCTGGGGCGCCCCCTTTGCTCTCACAGTGCCATGAACACTATTTCCATTAAGTCATCTTCCACTGATATCATGATGGTACCATGACCCTGTCTCCCCTGACAGTGAGCTTGTTCAGAGGGCACAGGCACTGTTTGTGTCACCTGGGCACACAGTGACAGTCTGCTGAAAGCACCAGCCAAAATGTTACTTTTTTTTTTTTTTCCCTTGCGGTACTTGGATTGAACTCAAGGCCTCAAGCATGCTAGGCAAGAATGGGACCATTCTTTACCACTGAGCTATATTCCATCCCTTTTATTTTAATATTTAACCCAGGGGCTCTCTACCACTGAGCCACAGCCCCAGTTTTTTTTTTTTAATTTATTTTGAGATAGGGTCTTGCTAAATTGTCCAAGCTGGCTTCAAACTTATGATCCTCCTGAGTTGCTGGGATTACTGGCTTGCACCACTGTACCCAGTATTTCCCTCACTCTCAATGACCTTCTCTGCCTTATTTAGCCATCCTGAAACTGGTTTAAGCTCTAGAATGTTTTGATCTCTAATTCAAACTGCCTCTTTTTGACAGTTTAGTGGATCCTCAGCTCTGTCCTTTCCTGTTCTTCCTGTGGCCTAAGCACAGATTTGGGCCTCCTTTCCTGCCTGTTACAGTCTTCTGTGATTCTGTCTGCATCTTTCCAAAAATTACTTCAGACCTCATCTTCCATGATTAAAACCCTCTCACTGGAACTCCAGGTGTAGCTTAGTGGTAGAGTGCTTGCCTAACCTGCAAGAGGCCCTGAGTTCTGTCCCCAGTACTGCAAAACAAACACACCCTTCACAGTTCCTCACTGCCTTTGGGTCATTTTAGATTGTCTCTGCAATGAAACTATGTCTAACCACCATGCTCTACTTGCTTACACTGCAATCTCCATCTTGGGAGCCATTGAACAAGCTATTGGGTCAACTTCAGTTAGAGAAAGCTCTTGATCTGTATCACAAAGACAGGAAACATAAAGCTACCCTCTGACGTGAAGTCTGTTCCTGGGTTATCTGTTTCCCTAAAATACTCAGCTCCTCATGCAGCTGCTCAGCTTTCTGGCTCCAGCACCTGCCATAGGGCCTAGCACACTGTAGGCAGCTTTGCACTATCCCTGCCACCTTTACTATGGGTAAGCTGGAGTCTAGTAAAGCCCATGGTGTTCCCTTGCCCTGGAGCCTTCACTCACCGTGTTGAAGTATTCGACGCCGGTGGCTTCAAATGCCCTTGACACAGCTTGGGTGGTGGCCACGCAGGCAATTGGGTGGCCATTGCCAATGGACTTGCCCATGGTGACAATGTCAGGGACAAAGTCTTCCCCCTGCAGCTGGAAGGCCCAGAAGTGCTTGCCTACTCTGCCAAAGCCAACCTGGATCTCATCTGCGACAAAGACCCCTCCAGCCCTGTGGATGTGCCTGTGGTGGAGGACAGATGGCCATCGGGGCTTTGGTGAGAGGAATTTAACCAGGAGTTGGGAGATCTTAGGGCTCTGAACCTGGATCTGCCAGCAGAAAGGTGGGGTGGTGGAGGGCAGGGGGAATGGGCAATGGCTAGCCTTCTCTAGGCCATCATTTCTTTAAAATATTCTGGCAAGCAGGTCAGGCTGTGGTTGGGATTAGGAACACAGTTTTCTGCCCTCCCTCGAGCAGGTGCTGCCCACCTACTTACTCTGCTACTTGGGAGAAGTAACCAGCAGGGGGAATGATCTGCCCTCCCACGCTGGGCAGAGACTCCATGAAGAAGGCTGCAATCTGCGGATGAGACACACATTGGGAACACCACCATGCAACTCGGTGTGCCCTGCTGATGCTGGCTCAGCATCAGGACCAGACGCCATCACTGCCGTATCCTCCTTTGGAGCCCAGAGGAGCCCATGTCACATCTGATGGTTTGAGACTCGGGTTTTCTTTTAGGTCTCAAACCAACACTTACATATGGATGCCTCCGTCCCCTTGTTCTTGGTGTGTCCCTAACTATAAATTCACTAGTATGCCTGTTCCTTCCTTCCCCTCTCTGGTGACCAGTACCAATCTCATCCCTCCTGCCTTGGGACAAATAGGGTCCCATTCTTGATTGCCCTCTCCCTCATCTAATCAGTCATGCTGACATGGATTCTACTTCAGTAACATCTCTGAACTCACTACTTCCTCTCTGACATGGCTGCCTCCCAGAGGACTTGCCTGTTTCTGCCTTGGCCTCATAGTTGTCATCTACTCAACTGGACACTTCTACAGTGTCTCTCACAAGACCACAGGGGTGACACTACAAGCCAGAAAGTTGAACTCTCTGCTGTCCTGCTTAAAACCCTTTACTGACCCCTCTGCTCACAGCCATGATTTCTCAACTGTGTTCTGCCTGGGAACTGCTTCAGAGGCCATTGGTAGGATGTGGGGAGGGCTGATTGGATGGGAAACTGATCCTCTACCTCTGCTGCAAACAGAGCAATGTTCTTTCCAGGTTTTATGGAAGTGGCTGCAAGCATCTGAAATCTACAGGTCAGACTTTCTTGGTTTGGTCCTGTCAACCCTTCTGGTCCCACAGCCCACCGTTCTTTGCCATGTATCCTGTGTTTAGCTCTGTCACTCCTTCAGTGAAGTATTCCAGAAAGTCTTCACCCCAGTCACCAAAACTGCCCTTTGTGGGTGCTGTTCTGGGTCACAGTACATTTCTCCTGTCTCTGCCTGTCCACTCCATTTCCACTATACTGCCCTGGTCAGGCTTCCCCATTGCTCACTTAGAACCAACACAGCCTCCTCAAGATCCCTCCTCTCAGGATATCCCATTCACATCCATCCCACACAGCTGGGATGGATGAGAGAACAGCTCAGCCCTGTTATCACTCTCCCTCTTAAAGCCCTTCACTGACACTCATGGTCTCCAGTGCAGAGTTCCAGGCACTCAGCACAGCATTGGGATCCCCTGGCAGATGGGTCCTGTCTGCCTCTTCAGGCCCACCTGTCTCCACACCCACAGTTCCTCACCTCTGCACAGGCTATCCTGTTTAGGAGGCCCTTCTTCCCCTGCTCCCTGCCTTGAGTAGCTAATTCCTACTCACCTTTTACTATTGCAGTCAGGTAGTACCTTCTGCAAGGACCTGCCTTCATGCCCACATAAGTCCTCCCTGGGCCTTGGATGCCTATAACATCTAGGATATTCTCACCAAAATTCTTGGCTGGGCACCTATTAGTCCCACCTCATGCATACACTAAATTCCAAGAGGGCAGGGCCTCATTCTGCTTTCCCTCTAGGCATCTAGCACAGCGCAGGTAACAGTGGTGGTGACATTCACTGGACTGTTGAGGGTGTGGTTACCTTCCTGCCCTTCTCCTGTGCGTTGCTGACAACACGTTTCACTTCATTGGCATAGGCCACAGCTGGATTGGGATGGTCTTCTCGGTAAGGGCCCCGGTAGGTGTCTGGGAGAGGTGCCTGTAGGGAGTACAAGCACTGTGTCATTCTGGCTTTGGGGTGGGCACCAACCTGTTGCCATTGTGGGTAGTGCATACCACATGGACCCACTCCTTCTGGCCATCCAGGTACCGGAACTTGTATGGACTGATGTCAATCAGGGAGCTCAGGTGACCGTGATAAGCACTGGGGAGAAAAAGGGAGGGCTCAGGCCCCAGTAGCATGTTCTTATGATCTAACCCTGACCACTGTCTATCCACTGCCAAAGGCAACACAAAGGCCCCCAGCTCTTGGGCTGGGAACAAGCATGGGCCTTGTAGTAAGACTTCCTACAAGGCCACTAACTGGCCATGTCAAAATACTGATTGCTTAATCTCTCTGGGTCCAATTTTCTCCTCTGTGAAGTGTGTTTGTGGCGTCTCCTTCAGGGTATAATGTATCTTAACTGGGCTAATGCTCTAAGCCCAGGCCTGGGTCTTCTGCACATCAGATACTCAATACATAGGAGCTACAGGTGGAACAGTTTGAATATCTAAATGAAGGACTTTCAATTCCTTACAAAGCATGTCCTCCTCCCCAGGAGCTGCCCTCCTGGGACAGTGGCCTGATGATAGAGTCCCTGGGAGGTATCTTTGGGGCGCAGTCCTGTGCCTATCATGTTTCAAGGCTTTCATCCTCTAAGGTAGCCAAGGTCAGAGTCTCATTGATCCTCAATAAGCCTATGGGCCTGGAAGTGGCAGGCAGGGCTATGAGTTTCACTTACTGGTCTAATACCACCACGTCCTGGTGTCCCGTGTATTGGCGAGCCAGCCGCAGGGCCAGGTCATTGGCTTCTGACCTATAACAGTAAAGGTGGGCACGGCTTGGACAGTCACCCAAAGGTTCTCCACAGAGAAACCATGTGAACAGAGGAACCCTTCCAGCAGCAAGAAGATTCTTGGACTTCATTTAGTCATTTGTTTGATAGACATAAAGTGCCTCCTATATGCTCAGCCCTGTTATCATCCTCCCTCTTAAAGCCCTTCAGTGAAACTCTGGGGTAAAAAGAGTAGGTAAAACAGGAGGCCCTGGCCTCCTTGAAACTTACATTCTGATGTGCATGAAAGCCAAAAAAACAAAGAGTGATCATTTTTGTAAGTGCTAGCTGTGGGTCCAGCGTACTAAGGGAGAATTGGATGGGCGCTACTTTAAATAACAGCATGTTAGGGGTTGAACTGTGTTGCTCCAAAATTGTTATGTTGAAGCTCTAACTCCCAGTGTCTTATATGTGATTTTATGTGGAAATAAAGCTTTTGAAGAGGTAGGGTAAAAGAAGGGCTTCAGTGTATCCTGATCCAATCTGACTGGTGTCCTTAGAAGGAGAGGAAATCTGGATGCAGAGACATCAGGGATGTTTCCACACAGATGAAAGGCCACATGAGGGCACAAGAAGGAGGCAGCTCTCTGTGAGTCAAGGAGAGAGGCTTCAGAAGAAACCAATCCTACTGACACCTTGATCTTGGACTTTTTGCTTCTTAGAAATATGATATAGTACACTTCATTGCTGAAGTCCCCTAGTCTGACATTTTGTTATGGCCACCCTAGCTAGGGTCAAGGGTGGCTCTTTAAGGAGATAACACCTGAGTCTTGAGGGAGACCATTCCAGGCAGAGGGAGCAGCATGCACAAAGGCCCTGATGGAGGCAGGAACTTGTGTCAGAGAAGCAAGAGAAGACAAGCAAGGCCAGAGCCTAGGGAGGGCAAGCCAGGAGAAGTGCAGAGTGCTGCAGGGGCCACATTCACAGGGCTGGGAAGGAGCCCGGGTTTTCTTTTCAGTGTCAACAAAGCCAATGAGGAGTTTTAATCAGAGAAAGCACATGATTCAAATCCCATTTTAGGAGGCAGTCTGTAGCTATATGTCAAAAGGGAATGAAAGTGGAAGTGAGGAGACCTAGGAGGTCCAGGTGAGAGCAGGGGATGGGGAAGTGCTTGGAGTAAAGGGATTTTTTGGAGACAGACAAGATGGGACTGAAGCAGAAATGCATGTATTTCGTTTCTGCCTTGAGCAGAGATGTGGATAGTGATGCCATTTATAAGGTGAGCTGATGTGAGGATGGCAGTGGTGGGGCTGGGAAGGCCAGGAGTCGGTGGCTGGGAACATCAGGGAGAACCAGTGCAATGGTCTCACACTAGGTGTCGCAGAAGACATGTCTTGATTGTTTCTGGATATGTGAAGTTGTCAGATGTCAAATGAACAGTTAGAACCTTGAGTCTGGAACACATGGGAAGCATCTGGGCTTGTGATATAAATTGGGAGTCAGCAGCACACGGATATTTAATACTGAGGGAATGGATGAGATCATGGAGCAAGAGGACTCAGAGAGAAAAAATGGCCCAGGACCAGTCCAGAGGAATATAGCAAGAGGTATTGATAAAGGATTCAGAGGAGGAGTGGCCAGAAAAGCTGGCAGGATACAAGGAAGGCACCAGAAACCAGAGGAAAAATTTTCCAGAGCCCGGTCACTCTGTCAAATATTGCTGGAAGACAGATAAGTCAAAGGTAGCCAAGATTACTGGATTTGGTAACATAAAAGTCATTGGCACCTACACAGAATGAATTTGGTGGGTTAATAAGCCAATAGGAATAGCTCTTCCTCCTCTGCTGAGAAAGTACCAACCCTGCACCAATTCCCTGCTCTTCCAACTGGGGTTCCAGTTTAGTCTGTCACTTCTTAGCTCCTTTCTTTGAACTATTTCCTTATCTGTCAAATTAAGATGGTAAATTTTACTTCCTAGAAGTAATTCAGGGAACTGATGAATGATAAATGGCAATGGCAATAATAATCATCATTACTAGGCTGGGCAAGTGCTCAGTGGTAGAGAGATTGTCTACCATTTATAAGGTTCTGGGTTGCTTCCATACCACCATAAAAACAAACAAAAATCACTACTATAATCCAAATGCCACTACCTACAATTGTTGGAATATTCTTTCTCAGATATGCCATGATCATCTGCCTGATTCTGCTGTCACTGCCACTCTCATTGTAAGCTACAATCACCTCTTACCTGGCCCCTGAATTGGCACCAAACCCTGTCAACTCTTGCTTTCTGCCAGCCCTGATGACATCACTTCCCTAACTAAACCCCTCTGATGTCTTCCCAGTGCTCTGAGGATACAGTGTCCTCACTTGATGGATAAGGTCCTTGGGTGATGGGCCCTGGGTCCCTCTCCAGAGTTAGCTCACACCCTTTCCTCTTCCTCTTTCAGTTCTTCAAGTGTGCCAGGATGCTGTGCCCCTTCCTATGACAGGGCCTTTGCACAAGTTGTTCCGTGTGGTGACCGACCTAGACAAGAGTATTTGTGGTGGAGTAGGAAGCACCCTTCCTTCCTTTTCCCCTAGTTTTCTCCTGAGCTTTTAGCTTAACATTGTTTCCTCAGGGAAACCTTCCTGACCTTCCAGAACAGGTCAGGTCCCCCCAAATTTTTGGGCCTCATTATACCATATGCTTTTTCTCCAGACAATAACTTTTCTTGGTAATTTTATATTTCTTTGAAGAATCATTTGATGTTTCTGCTTCTACTAAGCAGGGGTCTTTGGGCCTTATGGAAGGCAGAAATAAAGGAACACATTAATTCATCAAGCCCCAACAATGATCCTGGAAGAGAGGCAATGACATCCTTTACTAAAAGAGAAGAAAATTGGATCCAACAGAAAAAGAACCAGGATCCACACTTAGGAAGCACAGAAGCCTCTCCCTGAAGCCTACACCATGCTGTGCCTATGTGAGTGATTCTTCTTTGGTGCCTCACTCTCTTGCTAGGGGCTGGCTGCAGTTCACTTACCCGGAATTCAGGAAATAAAACACACAGAGCTTCTCTGGCAGGGTCTCCGACAGCCTCTGTGCATAATCCACGATGTTGTCGTGAAGGTATCTGCTGTTGGTGTTGAGCACCTGGTTCTGTTCATGTGCAGCTTGGACCACGAGAGGGTGGCAGTGCCCGACTGCAAGAGGGCCACCTCCATCAAATGGCCGACTCCACTCGGCCAGTCCCACTGGGCCTCCCCCAGCCCCATTCTGGAAACCCAGCCAGGGGAGATGCAGTTACAAAGGGAGAGGTGGAAAGAGATGAGTTTAAGATGGGAGGGGGGGAGGCGGGGATGATGAATCTGGAAAGGAAGATCTAAAAAGAAGTTCCTGGGATTCCAGCAGAAGGAAAAGATTCTCTAGCAGAAATCCTATTTAGACAAACTATGCCTTTAAGAAGGCTTCTGTAGGCCTTTTCCTTGAGAGGCAAGGATCAGAGGTGATTGTCACATGGCTTGACTTGACCAGCTGGTGGGGGCTGGAGGTAATCTTTATTGCCAAAGGCCAAGGATAATAACAAGGAACATGCACTGAGAGCTTGCCTAACATCAGGCACATTCAAAACTAAATTTTGTTAGTTAACACACATAATTCTCTAGAACACTTGGAGGTGAATGTCTAGTAGTACATGGTCTATTATGCAGACGAGCAAATAGGTATAGAGAATGAAGAAACTTGTTCAAAATCACAAAGTTGGTAAGTTAGCAAAAGCTAGAGCCCTGGCTTTTTAAAAATATATATATTTTAGTTGTTGATAGACCTTTATTTTATTTATGTATTTATACGTGGTACTGAGAATCAAACCCAGTGCCTCACACATGTGAGGCAAGCCCTCTACCGCTGAGCTACAACTCCAGCCCTGAGCTCTGGCTTTTAACCTGTTTTATTCACCTCCATTTTGCCTCCTAATTCATGGACTCCTTTTCTTCCATCAGTTCTGGCAGTCCTAGCTGAGTGACTGAATTTCTGCTTCAATTTCCTTACCAGCACCTGAAATGGTCAGTGTAGCTGAATCCCTGCCATAATCCCTGTACTTGGTGACGGCTGTGCTGCAGTGCTGGTCATGGCTGGGCTGTCACTCTCTGAGCTCATCATCAGTCCCAGGTGGAACTGAATCCACACACCTAGACCTCTGACTCCTGCCTGGAGACTTCTACTGCTACTTGACAAAGACTGGGCGTTCTCTGCACATGGATGTGACTCAGCTCAAGCCAGGCTGTCTACAACTGGCATCAGATTCACAGCCTCAGCCTCCTCTCCTGCCCCACCAGCCTGAGGTGATACTGACCATGAGCCACATTGTTGATGCAATCGATGTATTCTCCCCCTTGTTCATCATACAGGTACTGCCCTTGGCCACGGACAATCTTAACTGGATCCTCAGGGAAAAAAAGTCTGCAGGAAGAGCTGTGGGGACAGACCAGAGGTGGACAGCCATGTCTGAAGACCTGAAGGGACCACCTACCTCCTCACCTCTTCCTGRTTTCTGGAAAGAACAAAAACTTTAAGGACAAAGTGCTCTTTCCTTGCTGCCAGGCTCCTCATTCCATAGTAAAGAAGGAAAAGGATGGGGCAGGAAGTTGCTAAGACTTAAAATTGTTTAAGTCATATTAAGCCTCAGTGGCCTTGCTCATTTCCCTGTGTGCCCACATCAGTTGCTCAGATCCTGGGAAAAGGAAGCTGCCCCAGTCAGACCCACGGGGACCCTGTATGGCTGTATAAGGAATGGCACCCTTAGGTAGCTGTCTCTCAGCCCTAAAGATTCCTTGCCAGTTAAGTGGCCCTGTTGCCCCAGATGTGTGCTAGTCTTGAGCTCTGGCTGGAGGATGCCTTCTCCTCCCCTGCCATGTCCCATTGAGGGCCCCTCTCGCAGGTCAAGTGCCTACTTCCTCTAACGCTGTGAAGGACTCCCCACCCAACCCTCGGTCTGAACTTTCAGCCCTCCCAGGATCACTCTCAAGTCAGGCCCTGGTCGTGCTGAAGGGCCACTAGTGGGCGAGGTCCGCCCAGATGCTAGGGCAAAGGCTGTCCTYCCCAGGCGCCCGTGGCGAGAGCTGCGGGGCGGGTGACATCGGTTCCCGAGCCTCAGGGTGGGCCCAGGAGCCAGCGGGAAGCCGCTGCGAGGAAGCAGCTGCGGGAACCGCCTGCCCAGGACTGCAGAGCTTCAGAACACGCGGGGTTGCGGCCCGGATAAGGCCGGGAAGGGATGGGAAGTCGCGGGCTCTGTGCCGGAGGCGCGTGCGCGTCGTGCGTGAGTGCGTCGTGCGTGCGCGCGCCTAGGTACCTGAGGAGCCGCTGCCGCAGGGACAGAGTGTCGGCCTTGGCTCGCTGATCGGTGGCCATGGCGCTGCGCTGTCAGTCGGTGCAGAGACGCAGCGCCGAGAGACTGGGCCGCGCGCGCTTGGAATCTAGGGCCCCGCCCCGGCCCCGCCCATGACTCCCCCGAGACTTTGGCCTCAAGTTTGCATCTCAGGCCCCGCCCCCAAGTGGCCCACTTCGCTTTAGTTCTTTCATTTTGGCAAACGAGCTTCGCAGGCTTCCGGCTAGCGAGTCATTCCTTGTCCTTCTCCCGCCGGGCCGGGTTTGCGTCCGCCCTGCCGAGTGCTGTCCTGGCTTTGGTTCCGGGACGCGCTTTTGGCGTACCCGCTTCACATACCCGTGCGTTGTCTCCCCTTGCCCGGAAGAAGTGTCCCCAGGTGATCCCGCCGCTGTTCCCAGCGCCCGATTGAGCAGCACTCAACCCTGGCAGGCTACGCTTGGACGAGTTGCCATCTCCGTGCATAAAAAATGATGCAGTGTGAGGATTAAATGAAAAATGTGCAAATGATATCCACCTGGGGCCTGGTATGCACCAGGGGCGGCAGAGTAGAAGACAGGCCTCTCCAGCTCCTGCAGGAGCAGCAGGAAAGCAGGGCACAAGGGGCATTACTGGGGCTAACTAAGGGCTGGACCTGATTCCTGCTGGAGTCCAGGCGGGGTGAATTTGAGAGGATTCAGTGTTTAGACTGGAAGAGAGTTGGGAAGTCTCCTGAGCTGTGTTATATTGTCCAGGAAACTGAGACCCAGGAAGGGAAAGGCCTTTGCTAAAGGCYTGACTCCAGTTTCAGGGAGTGAGAAGAAAAGATCTCCAAGGGATTGGAAGCCTGGAGAGCAGAGAGGTTCTTCCTCTTCCTGGGGGCACGAAGACTTCCTGCCTTGAACCTTAGAACAAGGAAGAACTTTGGACTGCCTCCTGAGGACGCTGGGAAGGAAGGCTTACACTTACCCTTGCTGGTGTGTATCTATCTTCTCATGATTCCCAGCTCTCTGCTTGGCTTCCTGATTGCTGATTTCTTCTTTTCCTCATAAAATTGTAGACTGCTTAAGGCATTTATTAAATAACATTCTTATATTCTTTTATTCCTTATGTTTTTTATTGTGGTAAAATACACATAACAAACTTTACCATTTTAGCCATTTTAACGGTACAATTCTGTGACAGTAAGTCCATTCCCATTGTTGTATAACCGTCGCCACCATCCACCCACAGAACTTTGTCATCTTCCTGAACTGAGTTTCTTATTTGTAACTGTACACAATTCTTGAAAAAATTCTAAAATTAACCATGAGAGGTTAATTGTTAATGGCATGTACTTCTTTTTTTGAGGGTCAAGGCCCCTTGTGTGTGTGAATGGGACTGCGGTCAATGGTTTTCTCAATGTACTGGCTCCTCCTCTTTGCTGGAGAGACCCATGTTCCTCTATGCCCTGCAGTTTCAGCTTTTAATTTTTTTTTTTTTTGTGTGTGTGTGTGTATGTGTGGGTGTGTGTGGTGGGTGGGGTGGGGGGAGGAAGGGAGAGAGGAGAGAAAGTCCTGCCTGATTTCCATCTTCAGTGTTGTCTTACAGCCTAACATCCAGCCACAGGCATAGCCTAGGGCAGCTCAGAGCAGTCAGGTTGGCTCAGGGGCTTTCCTGCCATGGGGCAGAGGGCAAGAAGGCTGTACCCAGGATCAGTGAACATCTTACCTGCCCCTGGTTATCTAGGGTCAGGGGCTGATACAGTTGAAGGTCAGACCAGACTGGGACATTTCCTGGTTCAGATGATCTATCTATAGCTTCACTCTCTCCCTGCTCAGAAGAAGTCCATTCCTTTCTGCCTCTGGCCCATGCTAAGCATTTTCCCATCCGTTATCCCATGTGTGTCCTCCAAAGCTACACTGGAAGCAAGAGGGCATGGGATGGGAGGAAGGGGCTGAGCCAAGACTTGAACCTGTGTTTCTCAACTGGCATTCTTAGTGAGATGATTCATTGTTGGGCAATGAATTCATTGTTGGGCAGAACTGTCCTGTGCATTTCAAATGTTTGCTGTCCCTGGCTCTGCTTACTGAATGTCAGGAATGGTCTCCAATAATTGTGACAATCCAAAGCCTCCCCTGCATTTCTAGTGGTATCATAGGGATGAGGAGGAAATAAACTGGGTAAGCCCCCCTCTCCCAGGCCTCAGATTCATCTGGAAAAGGGTATAGTGGTCCTTGCTGTTAGTTTAGCTCTCAGTAAATATGCTTTTCTGTCTTTTGGAAGAGAAAAGATTGAAGCAGAGCTGCCCTTCTTGGCAGGGAGCCCTGAAGCCCCCTTCTCAGTCCTTGAGGCTCAGCAGTGAGGCAAGGCGCTCTGCAGTGTCTCAGCTGGGACCTTGAACTAGTCATTCAGTCTCCCACAGCCTCTCCTCCTTCACCCGAGCTGACTCAGCAGGTTCTACATACTGATGTTGGCAGTTGAGTTTGTATACTGGAGGATAGGAGGAATGGGGACACAAGAGGGCAGCAACGAGCCAAAAATGGTCCCATCCAGTCCAATGGGGTAGTAAATTGACCCCCTTAGTTGTCTGAGGGAAAAAAAAAGTGGCTTCTATCCCCACAAAGATCTACCTGTCAGCCACCCAGTATCATGGGGATGCCTAGCATTTTCCATTCCTGCTAAAGACAATTGGAGAATACCCAAGAGCCTGGGTCCAAGCCTGCCACTCCATCTTGGCAGTGCATCCCTGGGCAGGTGAGAGTCCCCTCTGATACTCAGTTTTCCCATATGGAAAATGGACCTAGTGTCACCTACCTCATAAGCCCCATCCCTCACAAGTCTAGGGAGGATATCAAGTGAAGTTCCTGGTTGGAGGGAGGAGTGAATTGCTAACTGTCAAGCGTAGATTTAGTAGGTTATGGGGACTCAAAAGGAGGCATTGACACCCAGAAGTTTCCACCAGTCATCAAGTTCACTGTGTTTCTCCTCCTTTTCCTACTTCTGGCTTCCCTGGTGAGCCAGTAGACTGGCTAAGCAGCACGGCCTGCTACTTATTACCAGCTCCTGAAGAGGTCAAAGATAGGGACTTGACATATTCCTCCTTCCTCACCCTGAGTATGACTGGGCTGCTGTGCTTAGCAAGGAGGGCATACATTTGGGGTCTTGTGGTATGGGGGGAACTACCCATATTGTAGCCCTTCTTAGGCCCCAGACCTTGGGGAAAGGATGTCTGAGACACTCTACCTATAGGTCCCTTCTTTTCTATACCACCATGGATGTGCTTGGTTTTGTCCTCTGTAAAATGGGCATATTTGCTGGGTCCTTCTCTTAGGGATATTGCGAGGCCCAGTTGACATTAGAGCTATGGAAATGCTTTGCAAGATTGGCTCTCGCTTGGTCTTAGAGTGGGGAGAAGAGAGGAAAATCTGAGTCCCCAGTGCTTCAGAGTGTCTGATAAGTCAGTCCTAGATTCTTTCTGTATTCCACAAAGTTGATCCTCATTGAACCTCTTAGTGATATGTAATGCTATCTCCTTTTGTAGATGAGGTGGTAGGTGGCATTATCAAAGATGGCTGCAACATATAGTGTCCCACATTTTCTCCTTAAAATACGATCTTGCCACTTTTTTTCATTGAGAGGGTGGGTCTACCTCTCTATTTTCAAATTGGGTGAACCTCTGACTCTGGCCGAAAGTAATACCATATAACTTTGGAGGTTTGGACATAAAAGGTGACACAGTTTCTACCTGTCTTATTCACTTTGGAATCTAGCCACCGTGCTGTGAGGAAGCCTGGACTACACATAAAGTCTAGACAGATATTCTGGCCATCTTGGGCAACATCAAGCAACAAATGTGGRAGACTTTCAGTGAACCACCCAGCCAAGCCGATTAACCCTCAGAACTGTAAGAGAAAAACAGAAACAGTCAATACTTTAAGGAAACAAGCAAGTTTCAGGGCAGTTTTTTATGCAGCAGTCACTGCTAGCCACAGCAAAGAAGCACACAGGGGTTCCGTGACATGAAGCGACTAGCCTGAGGACTCTGCTGGTGTGTGGTAGGACCTGACCTTGAGCCTATGTCTTTAACTCCCCACCTGTCTCCCACCTGATCCTGAGCTACCTCCTTTGGTTTCTGAGGTGGCTTCAACCTAGGAACAGTCCCTTTCTCCTTCCCCAGCTTGCAATGTCCAGGGTGAAACCTCAGCCAGAAGTGCCTGGGGCCAGTCTGCAAGGACAGGCACACCCAGACACACATCTGTGGTCTGTTACACATAGTGATGCCCATCTACACAGAGAGGAGAGGAAAATAGCTAGGACAGAGCTGATCACTAGGACTCTTTGTTAGATGTGGCAAAGCCTTTCATCAGAGTGTGGAGGACTCAGTCACAGGCCCCCTGCTCAGTCCTGCTGGGAACACCAGCTTTGCAGTTTGCTGAGTCTGTACAACTCACTGTGAGACCCATTTCTACCAGGCTGATCAGTATTTTGAGCAGGAGACTTTGAGGCCAGTGAAACCCAAACTGAGCTGGAGGCTTATCTCTTCAGGGCCAGGAAAGTCCCTTCCTGTGGTGAGATGACAGGAAGTGGCAGCCATAAAATCTGGGTATCTCTGCACACTCAGGGACAACAGGCTCCCCACTGCTGCTGGCTCCACATTGYGCAATCGCAGATTTTGGCTACTGCTGATGGCCAGAGGACACATATTCTCACAACAGACTGGCTTCTGAGGGCTATAGAAGTTGGTGGGGGCTAGACCCTCTTGGAGTGCATCGACAGTTTCCTAGGTCCAACTGTAATTGCTGATGGTAGTCTTGTCCTGCCCTGGGAAACCCAGGGTCTGGGGGTAGCGGGTAGTGATTGAGTCTGGAGGCTGGAGAGGCCAGAGCAGCTGCAGATGCTGTCCGAACATCATTGGGTACAGTGTGACCAGGGCCTCAGGGGATTAAGGGGACAGTAGTGAGTCTTGGATAATCAGGTGACTGAAGGCCCAACCCAGTGTCTTTCCAGGCTCACCTGAGCCAGGCACTTTTACCTTCGTCTCCTTCCCAGGAAATCCAAGCCCCGCAGGTGCCCCTCAAGCACACAATTCCCCTGGATTGGCCTGTCCGCATTCCTGTTGGCGTCACCTGCTGATGGTTCTGGGGCTGGGTGGCACACTCCC